GGGAGAATAAAGCTCAAGACCATGAAGTCACGAGAGGAATGAAGAATGCAAATAGATGACTATTACTCACTAGTTCCCAATCTGACTTCTAATTCTTGAAGTTACCAGTAGACCTGCTTAAAACAAAAACATCAAAATCCTGGAGTAGATAAGAGTATTCTCTTTCCTGCGTTCCTTTAAATGAATACAGAGTTTATGGGCCTGGACGATTCTGCAAGGCAGGAGTATCACCCTGCTCCTTACCTGTGTCAGCAGCAGAAGGATCAGTGGGAAGGGTCTGCAGGGAGCGGCTGAGGTTAGTCTTCATGTCCTGGGTCAGTAAGCGTGAGGAGGAACCCAGCCAGTTTGGCTCTTCCCAGCTTCTCTTTCCCGACTGGCTCAAGCGAGTGGGGCTGCTAGGAGCACTGATTGCCCGGTCGTACATCTAAAGCAACATCACCAGGCACAGTTTGAGTTGCTAAGGGCCCAACGTTTGCATTTTACCCAGCACCGCAAATCTTTCTGATTTCCACTCCTTCTTTCCAGTGCCCCTGTGCTCAGGTCCCACCCCGCTATCCCACATGCTCACCCGTTTGACGGCCAGCGTGGCGATGCCCAGCATAGCTGCTCCACCCACGCCCAGCACGAGCCGGGCGTTGGACAGCACGAAGTCAATGGCTGTGCCGATGCCATTGTCATCTTTTTTTCCTTTGCGCTGCCCAGCGCCTGCCATCTCACCTGGAACGAGCAGAAGCATTAAACAAAAGGGTCAAAACACGCAGCCCTAACAGTTCACTCCATTCTCCTCCACCCCACGCTCATGGTTCCTGGGGTCTTTGCACAGAACCATAGGAAGGGACTACTCAGCCCTGCAGACTCTTAAATTATTTTTCTCTGAGGAGCTGCTTATTCCCAGACACAGCAGTACTGACCAAGCTCTGCAATGGCAGCATTTCTTTGCTTCCAGCTCCATTTATGACCTGAAGAAAAACATCCCAAATTTGATGTGGCTCCTAACCATTTAAGTAGGTTTAATTATGCCATCACCTAATGCTTTAAAAAAAAAAATATTTACTTCAGTAATATTTTGCAATAAAATCCTGTATATTATGTAAAACTCTATGACCATTCACGTCTTTTCCTTTTAACTTGTGCTTCTCAACCAAAGCATGGCTTTTTTTACGCCAATTTATTTTCTGATTCTCAATCTAATACGTGTAATTTTGCTCACAGACAAGGCAATACAAAGATTGTCAACTGCTTGTCCATAACAAATCAGAATCTCCCCAAGAGCTGACAGGCAGTCTCAAAGCATCCACTCCCATTCTCATTTTTGGACAACAGCTGGTCCCAGATACTTCAAAGACACTCAAGAATCAACATTAGAGACTACAATGCATGACAAAGGGAACAGCTTCCTTGCTTTCACCGGACAGTTATTCCTGCCCTCAAGGCTCGTGGCTTTGACCCACGCCATGTATAACATGAATGTTAGTATTTTCTTACACATGTACTTCTCTTTCCTTCTATTCCTATTTAACCTAATCATGATATTTAAACTCAAAGAGTTTCCCTGACCAGCTACACGTGTAAAACATACTTTCCCACCACTGTATTGTAGGTGGATCCTCAGTGAACCTACATGAAAACACCAGGAAATTCTTCTGATCTGACTCCAAATCAGTTTTCTAAGTCAGTTTCAAAGACAGCTGCAGGTTCAGAGCCTGCCTGACTCCGGTGGTTTAAAACTGCCCTTTATGTTTTTCTAAGGCCAAGCTACAACCTCAGGAGGAACGTTCCTGCCTTGATGAACCAGGAATCCAGCCGCTGTTCATCACTAGGCAGAAAATAACGCTTTCACAAAGTTAACTATAATATTATTGTAAAACCCATAGTTATATCATTGTAAATTACCTACCTGTGACCTAATGCATTTGTAAAGAGAACAGGAGAGCCCTCCTGGTGTGCTTGTGGAAGCACCTTCCAGACTTCTTCAAGATAGTGGTAGGCAGGGAGCGTTAATCATCTCTTTTGGCTGGCAAGGGGATTTTGGAAAGAACAGAGAAGCAGGACCAAAAGGAGCTACAAGGATTCTCTAAACCAAGCCCCCGAGTTTGCTCTGCAGGAAAACTTGCCCCTTCTCCAACTGTCTTTCCTTGTCCTCCAGCCGCTGCAGCCCCCGGTTCTTGCGGAACTCACGGCGGATGAAAGCAAGGTAGAAATCCCGGTCAGTGTAGCGCAGCCCACGGCCCTGGCGCAGGAGAGCCCGATAGAGGGTCAGGACAGCCTCCCGGGACCACGCGGCCATGGGGGACGGGTGTACGGACAGGCGACCTGGAGAGAGGTGACGAAGTGCGGGATCCGAATCAGCTTTCCCTCCCCGAGGGCGCACCGGCCGCCGCCTCCCCATCTACGCCTGGCCCCAGAGACCACCATCCTCCGCGGCCCAGGAAG